ATATATATATATATTCATTCTTCCCTTCAACTGCCCTGGCTTATCATAGGAAACCTTCTCTATTCTGGCCGATTAATATAACTCTAGAATTAGGAGAGCCCTAGAAATAATTGGATAACCTTTAAACAATTAACTTCTTTTTCTTAATAAAAGACAAGTATTCTTTCATCATCATATAGTCTTCCGTCTCCATCCTAAAGTTATAACACAACTGAAGTGGTCCTCAATCTTCCCTGATTTAAGCAGATTTCTAATCCAATTCCAAATTACCCAAGACATGAAGAGAGGGAGAAGCTCTACTGAATAACGAGCCAGAAGGGTGATGAAAAACAAAAAGTAAAACAAAAATCCTTTCACTGATCTTTCTTTTGTCCATCAGCGTTGTACTCTGAAAGGCCTGATTTCTACTATGTTGAAAGAATACTCAACTCTCTGAACCCTGAAGGGATTCCCGGCTAGACAAGACCCAAACCAGATCAAAAGGAAGAATGACCTCATTTCTATTGACATTTTATGGGATGTCTCAAACAGCTCTCTGATGTACTTCTTTTTAGTAGCTATTGACTATCATCAATAGTTCTCAGGAAAATCCCATCCCCAGTTCAGAAAGCAACAGCCAAAGGAAAATAATAAGGGGAGGACATCGACACTGAGGCTCTTTAAGGTCTACCATCATTTTTTTTTTTTTTTACTCCTCAGGTGATAATCTCAAAGATTGGAGTGTCATAAAGTGAAAGCTTTCCTTTGAACAGATGTCCATAATGGAAAGGAGAGAGAACATTAATAGTTAATGTACTTTTTCATGCTTTCAAGTCAGTCTTGATTCCTGACAATTGTCTGGAGAAGCCCATGCAGTTTTTTTGACAAAAATTTTCAACTTGCCTTCTTCCTATAGCCGAAAGAGAGTGACTGGCCAGACATCACCCAGATGGCTTTGTCTAAGGATGGACTAGAACTCATGGTCTCCTGGTTTCTAACCTGGTGCCTTTAACCACCACACCAAGCTGGCTCTCCTATTTTTTATTTTATTTTATTTTTGGCGCCTTTGAGTCAGTGTTGACTCCTGGTGACTGCCTGGACTAGTCCCTGCAGTTTTCTTTGCAACATTTTTGGAAGTGGCTTGTCTTCTTCCTAGGGCTGAGGGAGAATGACTGGACCAAGGCCACCCAGTTGGCTTTGTGCCTAAGGTAGGACTAGAACTCACAGTCTCCTAGTTTCTAGCCTGGTGCCTTAACCACTACACCAAAGTGACTCTCACTTATTTTATTTTAATAATTAAATTAACAAAAACGTGTTGTAGTTCCTCTCAATGCCTTTTTTTACATAAGCTTATATTGTACCAGTGGACCCTTGGATTTTAATTGAAGTATCTGTATTCAATTTTTTGCAGCCTCAAGTAGAGCCTATCTCTAGATTTAAAATTATATATCCCAAGAAAGCAAAAGATAGAATGCTGTTACTTGGTGCAAATGAAGTTTGCATAAGAAAACTATGTACAATTTTCTGTATCATCATAACCAAAAGAATTGCAAGATCCCTTATTTTACACAAGAGTGGGAAACAGAATGACTGGTTAATAACACTTTCCGTGAAAATGGTAATTAATTAATTTTTTGCATCACATGGGGATCGTTGAATTCCAATTACAAATACCTAAAATTTTAATCTCTATGAATTATATAAATTACTAACACATTTTGTTTCTTGTGTAATACTTCCTGTTTTTTTTATAAATTCAGGGGCAGAGCAAATATTTGTTTAGGAAAAATAGAAGCTAATGAATTAAAGTGGTTTCACAAAGCAGCAAATGAACCATTCATGTGACAAAAGCAAAAAATTAATCACATTTTAAGGCTGCTGCCCTAAACCAGACTTATTAGAGACTAAGGCTCATTGAGACTTGTTTGCTTTTAAATGGAACCTTTTTCCTGTTACCTTTAAATGAAGCTGTTGACAGTGGTATATTTATAGCTTACAAATGAAGTTGGACTAGACTGATAAAGTTCTCTCCAAACTATCAAAGAGACTCTGTTGCTTCCTGATAAATTTCCTCCTGTTAAAAAAAAAAAATCTGTCCTATTAAAATCTCCAAATACTGTACAGCACTAGAGGGAGCCCATATATGAAAGATGAATATCTAGCTTGCCATTTAACTTCAGAGTACAGTGAAGGATTTGGAGTTGGTTTTGAGTGGAATGACAGCAGTGGCATTAAGGTTTACTTGTCTGGAAGTGTGCCTAAAGTCTTACACACACCGACAGGATTGTACTGCCAGGAACTTGAAATGGTAGTTTATTGGAAATCCAAAACTGTCACTGCAACCTGTAATGAGTGTAATTCTGTACAAAAGAGTTCAGATAGAGTAGAGCAGCTTTTCTCAATTGGGATTCCATGAGAGATCACGACTGAAGAAAAATGAACATTTTTTAAAAAATTTTGAGAGCCAATTTGGTGTAGTGGTGAAGGTGTGGCCTGGAAACCAGGAGATTGTGAGTTCTAGGTATGAAAGCCATCTGGGTGACTTTGGGCCAGTCACTCTCTCTCAGCCCAACTCACCTCACAGGGTGGTCGTTGTGGGGAGCTTTAGGTATGTTTGCTGCCTTGAGTTATAGATAAAAAAGGCAGGATAAAAATATAATAATAATTTCACTCACTGCACAATGCTAGCACTCAGAATGGTGGGAATTTTTACACACCACGACTTAATGTACAGTAATTCTAATTCTTTCTTCCCATCTGCATGACATAAGAATAGCAATGGGTGATTACAGGACTGTGGAAAACATACTACATCTCTTTCCTGTCTTGGGCTACCTTTGCCCAGAATGCAACATCATGCACCATAGGTTATAAACCATAATGGTGTAGCTACCCAAACCCAAATCTCACATTAAACCTTAGTGTGTGAATTAGGCTATTGCATGCAACCATAAACTGGTTGGTTTGTTTTGGCTTAGCCAGGCCCACCACATCAGGGTTGCAAAACTAACGATCACCAGGTGGTGGCACAGAGTTTTCTGCATCACGTTGTTGCCACCAAGTGGTAGACCAGAATTTTAAGCTCCAGATATGGGTAAACTAAGGCAAATTCTCCAGAAGGCTTCATCCAATTAAGATGGTAAACCAAACGAGGGTGGTGATGGGGATGCTGGTTCAATCTATGGGAACCCCAAGGTTATCTGGTCAACGATACATCAAAGCCCAGGTGCTTTTGTTTCTGGTGGGTATGTATCACTTTTACCCTTTTCAAGCGAGGGAAATAAAAATGGAGAAAAATCCATGCAGGGTTCTCAGGCGCTCGAAACGAATAGAGTTGGCCCATCCAACTTTCCATAACTGATTTCAGCGCGGGAGGGGGCGGGGGAAGGACAAGAACGACCACAGTAACTAAGGAAGCCGATTCCAAAGGGGAAAGTCTCCGGGATGAAGCGGTTGCTAGGCGGCGGGGGGGCGCGCCTCCGCCTCGCGCTCCTCCTCCGTCACTGGCTCTTGGGCGCCAGCGCGTGCCCGTGCCAGCAACCTGCGCTTTGCAAACCTATCTCGACTCAATGGGACTTCGAGGTGCGCAGACGGAGGATCTTCTGAAACGGGGCGGCGGGGCATTCAAGGGCAGGGGGTGGAGAGACACGTGTTACTGCGATCAGTCCCTCTCCGGTCGGGAGTTTGAGGTCTTCCTTCATAAGCTCGCTAAATAGGTTGCCTTGCACTCTACTTAATGTTGGGTTTCAGAGCTCTCACAAAGTGCATCAGCGGAAGCCCTCTCTACTACTGTGTTTCCCGCTAGGAGAAGCTTCCTTTTGAAGTCCGGGCACAGTAACTGTTGCACTCTTGCAATGTGGGTGAGATTAGTTAAGGATCTAGCATAGCAGCTGCGTTTGCCCCATGTGCTAAGCTTTGTTGGTATTAACCATGGTCAGGATTTTGTGTTGTGGCTTAGTGTATCATGGGAGCCTGATCTCTTTGCTGGCTTTGTGGTTCCTTGCATTGTTTGAAGCTAGACAATGATTTATTCAGTGTTCAGGTTATTACTTCAGTGGTGACCAGCACTAAATCTCTTAGGGTAGGTGGAGAAAGAGCTCCAAACTTGAAAATGGCAAAGGATTGAACCTGAAATCATCTGTATTTAAAATGTGGTCTACTGCTCTCTCCTGTTTCATTTCTGACTGATAGATTATGAAAGGCATAAGAGGCTTTTTGGTGGGGAGTGGAGGAGAGAGGCAATCTTAGCCATGTATTATATACAACTGATATATTCCACTGGTGGTTAAGTGGATGAAGCCTCTTATAACAAAACGCTAAAGGAAGGAGTGTGGTGACAAAATTGTGGCAAAAGAAGTCAAACTGAACACATTTTAGAATATCTGTTACTACCAATGTACCATTAAAGAGCTATTTAAATCCATTTAACTGGTTGCCACTCTACGTTTTATGAATAGGAAAACAGTTTTACATTTGATCATGACTGTTTATGTGGAATGCATTGATTCAGGATTTGCCTGCCATACCAGGTCTAATTCTAATGGCAAAGAATTAACATGTCAAGATTAAGGAAAGAAGGAGAGAGAGATTATTTTTTGCTGTGGTTTTCTAGGTCTTTGTATTTGATGTTGGTGGGAAGACCTGGAAATTTTATGACTGGACACAAATTACAACAGTGGCAACTTTTGGACAGTATGACCCTGAGCTTCTATGTTATGCTCATTCAAAAGGATCCAGAGTTGTTTTAAACGGTATGTTTTATTCAGAATAGCATAAAATGTTAACCATAACATTTTTAGGCAGATTGCTGATATTGGTCCTCTGAAATGTGGTCTCCTGAAGTCAATTAAGCTTCATCCTGTGACATAATTAGGCATAATTATATCTTTAATAATTATTCAAGAATGATGCCATATTTATCACAATTTTTGGTAATGAAAGTACATTGGTTCACCAGACTGGGCCCTCAGTTTCAGGATAGCTCATGTTCTCCATTATGTGAAGCTTTCCCCCCCCCCCCCATAAATGGAAGATATATCGACTGAATTGCCTTTGGGAATCTCTTTTAAATAGAAGAACATTCCACTGGTTTCCGAGTAAGTTTTGTCAAGCAGTTATCAAGTTGGGTTGGCTGTCACCAAGCCAGTCAGTTCATAAATAACATTAAACTGCCCAGGCTCAGCATGATAGTTCATAACACAGGAAAACTGTTAGAATGGTCATTATGGCAGTTAGAAATAGCCCATTCTCCTAGGTGAGGGGGGAAAAAAAGGGAGCACTGCTTGTTTTAAGATGTTGGTTGGCCATTCCTTTTAAGAGATACTTGCATTAATTTTTTTTTTTAAATCTATAGATCTGTTACTCTAAGAAATATTTTTAGCTACTTAAATGTGTTTGGTTATAAACCTTTTAGCTCTAGAAACTGTTTATGACACATTACTGCAGGCATTCTGTAGCTCACGACAAGTAGCCTTGTTTTTCCTGTGGAAATTCTCAAAGGAATATATTAAACAAGTTCCTCAGTTCAGTGTATGCTTAAAGGAAAAGGACTTTTCATATGTCCAGTGCATTTGGAGATATGTGTCACTGTGCTAATTTGAATGAATTGGATGTAAATGGCTATTGATGATGTAAGTGCAAATGATAATGTGCATTATCATTTGGAACTCCATTGCTGATTATAGCTGTAGCAGAAACACTGTTTATTTTATTTTGAACCATTTTTTACCCTTGTATTGCCCCAGAAAAGGAGTTCCAGAGTATCCATTTAGAGAGCAATGAACTGAATTAATGTAGCTGTAATCTGAAACACACTAAGAGCCCCCCCTAGTTTCATGGGACATAACTTCAGAGCAAACATCTGGGTAATCTCTTTTTTTTATCTCTTTTAGTGGTGCAAACCTAGTGGCAACTAATTGTTATCTTTGTTTAGGAAACATAGCTGTGAAGGAAATCTTAAAACCTGCTGTTCGAACAGCCTGGATAAAACAAAAAACCAGTCTGGCTAAAAAGCAATACATGGATGGAATCAATATAGACATTGAACAAACAGTTAAAAAATTTTCAGCTGAATATTATGCATTAACTTCTTTAATTAAAGAAACAACAGAAGCTTTTCACAAAGAAATTCCAGGTTCACAGGTAAACCAGAAGGAAAGATTATGTTTTACGTTAAATTCTCTGTTAGTTAATTCTGTTCCTTAATCTTAATGCATGAATTTCTTTTGACAGTGTTTACTACTGTGAGCACACATTTTAGTGCTGCATATTTGTTGATGCAAATATATTGTCAAACCAGTATTAACACAACTTAAGGGCTTTTCTCCACTTGCACCTAATCACAGCATGGGAATCTCTTTTTTCCACCATGTTGCCCTGACCTTCCCCTTCATCTTCAAGGCAACCCATACGTGAGGCTGCTTAAAGATATCTCTAGCAATTCCAGTGCTCAAGTAATGTTTTCCCCTTAAGCAGTCAACAAATCACAACAGTTTTACTGTTGTACTTCACCAACCATTTTGTTGTTGCTGTCAGGTGACCCCCAGAGTGTTGGATCAGCTCAGTGCTCAGTTGACCACTTTAGATTGAGGTAAGGACACTTCATCTGTACCAGGTGCTGGCTTCTGTCCTGCTTTCAGCAGTGAGAAAGTCTGGTTTTCTCAAACCTGGCCCTCTCCCTATACCTGCCAGGTCTCCAAGCTGATCTCCAGCTCAAGACCTGCAGTGGCAAAGTAAGGGGAAGGAGGCTCCGGTTGAGGAATGAGCACTCTGCTGCTTCATAACCCAGTCTACTCATTATACCTGTTAGCTGTTGTTAGGGATTTTCAACATGGGCTTAGTGCTGCCCTAAATTCCACACTAGCAGCTGCTATATGAACTATTCTGAACACTCTTGCTGTTAACCATGAGATGTGCTGCTGGCTACCAGCTAAGCTGGCTTCAAATAAGGATTGGAATGATTCCAGGAAGTCATGGGAATCAATGACCATTAGCCTTGACAGTAGTGTGATTGCCTCTGAAGGCCATCTGCTGGGAGACTAGTGGGCTTCCTTGTGCAGTTGGTTGGCCAATGTGAGAAAAGACTGCTGGACTAGGTGGTCCAGGGGTCCGATCCAGCAGGGCCCTGCTTATGTTCTTTTCTTCTTATGATCCAGGCCTCTGAGCTGGGGATTGGCTCAAAAACTGTTGGATAAAGGGCTCCCTTCTCCTAATCTGGGTAGCTGATATGCTGTCCTATCAGCTGCCCATATCAGAGGGCAGCAGAAACAAGTTTTGACAGACGGCTAAATCTGCAGGTCTGGTCTAACTATCTGTCAAAACCATCAACAAACACAATTGTGCTGTGATTGGCAGATGGATTTTCTGCTTGCTGGGAAAGGTGGGGGGGTGGAGAGCAGCACTGCATGGGAAATGAGGACACCATGCTATGACTGCAACCCAGAACAAAGGAGTTGGGATTGGTAATCGAGACAGCAAAATCTGTGCTGGTTTAGTTTTCTGCTGGCTCATGGATAGGAGGAGAGCATTTTAATTGAGCCATGATGAAAAGTGGAAAGGTGACTAATAATAGACTCAACTAGAAACAAAATAATTATATTTGGGAGGCCACAGCAATCTGGATTTGAATTTGCAGAATGAAATATTCTATCCTTTGTAATTATACACAAGTCATTTTACAAATAGCCATAAATAAAATACTAAATTACAGTGGCATTTCAAACCCAGTCTAGTACATGAAAAAAAAAAAGCACCTTGATCCACATGTAACAAAGCACAAATTTTCCTTTTGGCTAATGATGGGCAATGGCCATCAACCTGAAATAATGTGGTCTTCAGATCATTGGAATAGATTTTAAATAGTGTAGGGGCGAGGATGCAACCTTGTCTCACTCCCTTACTCATTTTAATATCGCCTGTAAGTGAGCCTTTTCGATGCATCTAACTTGCATTATACTATCTTGATACAGTGCCTGTATTAATATGTAAGACACCTGTCAGAAACCAAATTCTCTAATTTAGCCCAAAGTTTGGTTCTGTTAACATTTCATTGTATCAGACAAAGACTATGGGATAATTCAGTACAGAAATTAATGGCTAAAGCCAAAGTTTCGTGTTCATCTGTAACCTTTGGAATTAACTACAAATATACAGATGTACTTGAAAAATATCTGAATAGTTTATATTTAAGTAAATACAGAATAGTCTTTTCAAAAGCCAGATTAAATGTGTTGCCATCAAATATGCTATATGGTAGATTTTAAAAAATTCCCATCTCTCACAGATTCTGTCCCTCTAATGGTACTGATCTTGAAATGGTGGATCACATTTTATTGTATTGTGAATTTTATAAGAATCTTCGGCAGGAAGTTATCTGGCCTATTGTAAAATCCAAACCAGGAAGGGATACTTCTGAGTATGTAAAAATTTTACCTGCAGATGAAAATTCTAAAATTACAGTGGCAACAGCCAGATTTTTAACTATGGCTATAAAAACAAGTTTTTTTAGTAACAAATCAGTGAGTTGGAGTTTTAAGTATGTTATTTATTTATTTTTATTTATATTTCAATTTGTCACCACCCATCTCACTACAGAGTGAATCTGTATTATGTAATATTTATTAAATATCTTATCTGTTAAACTATTTTATCTAACGTCAAGTTCAGATTATATTTGTAACTTGCTTTTGGGCCTTTGGGCCATAAATAAAATTGATTGATTGATTGAAATTACAATGGACCATAAAAAGGATATAAAATTAAGAAATTTAAGGTAGCAGCAGAAAAACAATGTAAGTAACCCCATTTTCATTGAAAATATAAAGGAAAAAGAATATTTCACATGGCACTTAAAAGATAGCAGATACACGCAACCAAGATATATATTTAAGCCTGTTCCATTAATCCAGAACACAAACTTAGAGCTTGCTTTTTTGGCTATTCAGTGCTAAAACATCATGTTGTAAGGATGGAATCCAACAGGTTCTCATATGTAGCAACTCCAGATTAGCACGTAGCTTTTCTGTACCAATCAAATGATAATGGCACTGAGTGCTCTCAACCCAAACGAGAGGCACTGTAGTTAAGGATAATACACAGAAGAAGATACAGTAAATGCAATTTATTTGGAAATTTAAAAAATAAATTGCATTCACTGTATTTTCTTCTGAGATTTGGATTGGTGCCTTGAAGCTGGTAGACATGAAACTGTCTGCTCTTTGAACCTGAACAGCATAGAAAAAAACAGCTGGTGAGGAACAGAAAGCAAAATCAGAATCTTAACATCTTTAATTGCACTGAAGTAATAAGCTTATGGTTGGAAAACATGCTACAGTCTTTTCTGATCAAGCTGTTACTTTGAATATCATTTTCTAACACTTAGCACTCACTGTGAACCATACTAATACATTCAAATCCCCAAATCAAGCGAACAAAGGTTAATGCAAAGGACATATAACAAGTTTCTTCATGTTATAGAGCAGGGCTGTACAAGTTCTGAAAAATATCCAGAGAGGATGCATCAGAATATAATGGCCAAACATCACACTTTTTCCAGATGCAGCTGCTTTACGGAAGTGCTGTGCCTGCACTTTGGGTTTATTCTAAAGCAACTCTTCCAATCATTTCCAATCATACATATCACTATTATGTAGTTTAATTAAATATGTTTAGATTAGTTTTAACTAATTGCGTATTTTGCAATAAACTATGGAAAAATTGAAATTATTTCAGCACACCTTTACTCATACAAGAATCTTTAAGGGGGTTACTAATTAAATCCCTGATATTCATCCCAGATTCCCAGTCTTGGTACCTTCCACGTGTGTGCATTTCAATTCCCAGAATCCTCAGCAATGGCTGTGTGGACTAAGGAATTTTGGGATTTGTTCCACTCGTTTACAGATATTGAGGAATATAGTTTTAGCCTAAACTACCTTGATATAATAATATTAGAACAGCTCTTAGATTATTATCATGAATTACGGTTAACATAATTAAAAAGAGTTTCAGTGGTGGAGGTTACTAAAATTATAGGGCAACTAGCTTCCTCTAAAAGTATGAGCTGCATTTCGGTTTTGCTAATGAGCTCTGCCGTAACACCACCTGTTTGATTTGCAAATTATCCCTAATGTGCTTTATTGCATTGTGTTTTTTCCCCACTTTGTCGTCACCTTGCATGACTCCCAAACAACTAAAGCTTCTCTTTGTGCTGGGCTGGAAAATGCAAATTGGAAGATAAGGGGTGTGGCGGGCACTCACAGGCCCCAAAGCAAGGCAGTTGATGTGGGCTGTCATCCATACGTGCCTTTCTCTTGAGAGCTCATGGCAGAATTTATGGGTAAACTGTGAGGTTTCCTCACATTTCAACCCTACGCTCTTGTGAAGTAGATTGGGTTGAGAGAAAATGACTGTTGAAGTGAGCTTTTTGATCAGGTAGGGTTTTGAGGCTTTGTTCTCTCTAATCCTTCTTTCAAATTAAATCCATTATGCCATGCCTTGAACTCCAAAAGGCAAATCTTGACTTTTTTCTGCATCCTTTGAGGTATTTGAAGAGTTCTAGCTTTTCCCACCTCCGTTTTCTCAAACTTAAACATTTTCAGATCCTTCAGTCTTTCTTCATGTGACTTTGTTTCTAGCACCCTGATCATCCATATTGTCCTTCTCTAAAATTGTTTCTGTTTGTCTGAATCTTTCTTAAAGTGTCATGCTGGACAGAACATAATACTTAAATTGGAGAATGACCATTGCAGAATAAAGTGGAACAATTTTTTTCTGTGATTCTGGAAATCTAAATTTCTGTTGTTGCAGTCCAAAATTGCCTTTGCCTTTTTTTCTTTTTTGCAACTACATCACACTTTTGACTCATTCTGTTTGTAACCAGCTATACCCAGGCCAGACACTCCCCCACCTGTACGTGTTTCCTAAATGAAGAGGTTTGTCTTTTAAATTTAATTCTACAATATTCCTTTAAAACCATTTTTCTAATTAAAATAATGTAGAAAGTTATTTCTGCCTTCTATACTACTTGCTGTTCCACCGAATTTTGTCATCAGCAAATCTGATAAGCTTTCATCTTTTCATCCAAATCACTTAATAAAATTTTGGAAGAATACAAGACCCAGGACTGAATATTGCATCAGCTCCAGTACCTCACTCCTAGGTTGCTAATCCATTTTACTTGGATGAGAACTCAGTCCCATGGGAATACCATCTTCTGTCCCACTTAAACAGTCATGGCTTAAGTTTGCAACCTGTTTTACTAAGCAACATTAAGAATTTCTACGACTTGGATAAAAAGGAAAGCTTCCTTGCTTTTCTGTTTTTTCCTAATCTTCTCCAGTCACGATATATTCTGAAACATGAAAAATTAGCTCCTCAACTTTGTGGAGAAACACTACAGATCACAGAATTGCCCATACAGGCATTTGCCCCATACATGTGGAGGGCAACTTAAAGGACTAGAATAGATTGCTTCTCCCTCCTTCTTCTGAACAAAAGTAGACTGTAATAGGAATTATCGCCATTGATTTTGAGCTGTTCAGTACAGTGGGAGCCAGTGCTGTTAATTATCTAAAGCAGACAAAATGTCTGTAAAATGTATTTCTAGAATTGAATAATAGGTTACAATTCAGGTATTGTGCTAACAGGGAATGTACTACTTGGGTCATTTTCATTAAGAAGAAACACAAACTCTTAAAGAAATGTTACAATATTTATAACCCCATTTAAGACTTTCTTAGCTATGATAAACATTTAAGTTGCCAACATCTTAATGCTTTATGATGAAACAGTATTTCTTCAATATCTTCTGTTATGAAAGATCTTAAATCTTCACACAAAGGAGAATGGTGACAATATTTTTAGCCAGCTGAAGGAACTGGAAGCCTGGTATGAGCTGGCCCTCCAAGTTAGAAACTACATTTCTTCAAAACTGGATTATAGGTTTAATTTTTCTAAAGCCTCACTTCAGCATTAACATTACATAACCATCCCATACACTGGGATTTGCAGTGTTACCTTCTAAAGAGTTCATAAAATTGAAATATACACAAAAGTCAGGCACTTAAGGTAATTAGAAGGTTTGCTAGCCTTACATGTAAACCTGTGTAGAGAATGCTTATTCACAGCCAAATCTGTACAACTAGCTTGTGGAAAACAAGCAAACAAACAAACAACCCCCCCCCCAACTATATACCAGCTGAAAAGAACAGATTGTTCAAAGAACAGGATGTTGAAATAAAAGAGACAGCAACAAGTTCTGTGAAATGAAGGCTGCAGGCGGAGACTCTGTAAGGTGTATTTGCAAATACATCTTTGAACACTTAGGACAAAGTCTAAGAAAGGCAGAGGGTTGTGCTATATAAGACATAGAATTTTATCACAAAATGTTTCCAAAAGAAATAGCACACCTTTATTCTGTTTAAAATAGTGGGCATGGCTGTGGTTTTAATAATTTTGCAATTGAGATAGGGGTTTTTTTAATCTGTCATTTGTGAAGTACTTTGTTGTACAGCCTAGGCTTGGGCAATAGCCAGCTAAGCTGGGCTGATCTTGGAAAGCTGAGTTTCGGTAGTCAGCTAATCCACCATCCTCGAAAGAAGCAACAGCGAGGCATTTTTGTATTGCTGCTATGCCCAAGTGTTTATCAGGAGGCAAACTGGACTGAAAGAAAATGTTACCCTTTTCTTCTCTGTAGACAATGGAAATGTGTGCCTGTATGGTTTGGAGGGAGTAAAAGTAAAGAAAGGGAGAGAGATGTACTGTATGCGCTTTTCTTTCTCCGCAGGTAACTTTTGATGTACCTTGGTCTCCTCAGCACAGCGATAGATGCTATAACTACACTGGAATTGCTGATTCCTGTGATTTCCTGTTTGTGATGTCTTATGATGAACAGAGTCCAGTGTGGTCCAACTGCATAGCAGGGGCCAATGCTCCATACAAACAAACTTTGGCGGGTAGGAATCAGTTTCATCTTCAGAGTATAAAAAATAATTAGCTTCTTCTAGCTGGAAAAAATAGATAAAGACTGGACCTTTGTATAAGATGCCATAGGGGATTGAGTCAAAATCAGCCCCCGGTCCAACAAACTCTCTGCAGTCACTTTCCAAGCTGGAAGGCACATTTCCCTTTTCCAAGCATTGGACCACACTATACTTTAAAACTTGGAAACAGGTCTTCTCAGGCTACTTGTATATACCTTTCTTGGTGATCTGGTCCTCTTTTCACCACCTGTAAGTGTCCTTTTGATTTTCGGATTTGCACTAAGCTTTTTGGATACCCAGATTGGTTTCTTCTGCTGGCTTCTCCCTTCTCTCTCGTGCTCTCCCCCCCCCATTGTAATTGTTTGCAATTGTGCTTTAATATCTCCTATTTTAGGATTTGCCACCCATCTTGAGCACCCTTTTCTCCTGCCATGAAATCCTACTTACCAGTTCTCTGATTTTATTGAAATCCGAGGTATATGCTGGATCATAGTTTTAGCTTTCCTAAGTATTAAGGATTCCAGCTCTCTCCCAATTTTCCACTAATTCCACTTTGTATTACTAAGTCTTCCTGTAGGGTAGGATCAACTCAGGGGTGGCTGATTCACTTACACCTTCCTTTCCTCTCTCAAGCAGGGGTGTAACTGGCTGTGGCAGGCGTTCCCACTACAAAAACCCAGCTATGTTTTGAGTAGGGAGGATCAAGATGTGCTATACTTTCCAGCCTGTCACTTCATGTCACTACATCTCATAGGACAACCAGCTGTGATTTGGGGGACCTGAATGTTTATGCCTCTTTACTGTGAGAATTGACTGTTGGCTTTCTGACCTTTAGATAATATCCATTGAAGAGAAACTTGTATCTTACCTTCACACCTGCTAATTTGTTAAGGACTCTTTGGTGAGGTCTTTTGTCAAAGCCTTTTTGAAAGGCAAAATGAACCTACCTGTTTTTAATTTGCCTGTTTGAAGAAGCAAAGTACTAGAATTCAAATAGTCTTTTGTAGAGTTGGGAGGCAAGATTTTGGTAAGTGAATTAATAGGAATCTTAATTGTGTACAATCCTTCTCTGACATCTTTAAATCTGTTAACATCTCTTTCATGCACAGACTTTTCTTCATGAATAAATATAAATTTAAATAAATTATATATAAACTACATATAAAATTAAAGAACAAAATGCTCGATGAATAAAAAAAACCTACTGGTGTAATTTTATTTTGAATGTCGACTTTAATGGCTTTTGTCTGGTCGATATTACAAGTGTAGATGCCTGTATGTAAATAAAACATGCGAGTGCATTTCTGTGTTAAATCAGGATATGACCATTACCTGCACATGGGCATTAATCCAAAGAAGCTGGTGATGGGTGTTCCATGGTACGGCTATGATTATACATGCCCAGGCTTACGTAAGGTAAGAGAAAAACAGCTCAGTTCTATGTTTTTGTGGGCATGAATTTGAGAGAGAGAGAGGGAGAGAGAAGAGTGGTTAGGATAGGGCAGCATGGATTTTTTTCTTCCTATTATAAATTCAACAAAGAGTGCCTTCACCCCGCAAAGAAGGAAATCTTCCAAAATGCATTGGGTATTGCTTCAATAAATACTTTGATTCAAGTAGACTGTGAACTTTCATATCTTTTCAAGTGCAGCAACCTTTGGCAGCTAGGGGAGAGCTGTCCCATTGTGCTTTCTGCCACCATGTATATCACTTTATTAGAAATTATGTCATTTCATGATATACGCTTACAAAAGACCTGTAAAACAGGGCCAGCCTAGATGGTGCCAATTCCCTGCAGCTGGCACAGGGTGCGGTGAGAGGGGTTGCTAAATGGTCTTTCTTTACTGAAACATCTAATCTTGGTCTAAAGCATTGTTTTTCAAACTTGGCAACTTCAAGATGTGTGGACTTCAACTCCCAGAATT